GACTTGACTCTGGGTCCCATGGTGCACCCCAGACTCTGACAGGAGGAAGATTTTCATATACATTTTACTAATTTTCTTTCATCTCTGACACTTCTATTATAGAGAAAGGGCAAATAGCAATATTAAAGTATTTCCTCTCATTAATCCCCTTTTAATGTGCACGAATTTCATGCACCAGGCCACTAGTAATAAAATAAAAGCACTGAGGTTTTAAAAAAGTTTTGACCTTAGAAACCGTAATTAAGTTAAAGCAGTAGAGAGTAGCTGGGACAGAGAAGGCCCACATCCCATGTCAGGTGATACAATGGGAGGAGTGCAGGGTGTCCTCGTCTTTAGCTGGCACAGGACTGAGGTCCTCCAAGGTCACCAAGCCCTCACTTCCAGTCAGGACCTCTGGATCCTGCTGGGCTCAAAAGGGGCAGGACCTCCCTGCACCCAAGGGTACCCTAAGCCTACCTCAGGCACCACATCACTGGTAAACAGTTCCCTCTCCACCTGTGTTCTACACACTCACTATATAAAGTCTATCTGTGAGCTGCTGAGCTGATCAACAGCCACAAGGGTTTTCTGCCAGAGACAGTTCCATACACCCCACTACGGAACTCAGACGGTGAGCATTAGAGCAGTACGAAGAGAGGTACCTTCATTACCACAGAGGAAAAGCAAGTACATTCAAAAACTACCACTCAATGTGCTGGAAAAACTATACCACAGTTTTTACTCCAAACTTCGTAAGCATCATACCACTCAATAAGAAATAGACCTTTCTGTCCCTCAGTCTCTCAGACAGCAGGTACCAGGGGCCCTTGCCACTCATTGTCCCTTGGTCTCTGCACATCTGGATCCTGGTCCTTCAGGTCTCAGTCTATAGGGCAAGTCCCAGGAGGCCTCCCCTGACCCCATCTGGGGGAACCCAGTGAGGCCACTATGCCTGTCCTGCTCCCTGCTATGACCCTAGCACCCAGAACTGAGTCCATATCCCAGGAAGCCCTCATACTAGTGTTGGTTAAATAAATATATCTCATCCAAAACACAAAGGCTGTAAAGTGATTCACCATTTGTTCTTTTTTTCCCAAGGTTTAAATATAAAAGAGGGAGTGGGAAATCACCTTTCCCTCGGAGTGGCCTGAGGCAGAAACCTCTGAGCCCTGCCTCAGGAAAAGGATAACAGAAGATTCAGCCTCCCCCAACTTGTGAAAAAGTTTCAAAATGAAGTGCCCATATACCTGGCACCTGGATCCATTTCACCACAACTGCTCTTTCCTTCTCACTCTGCACACACACTTCTATTTTCCTGATCCACTTCAGAATTGTGGGCCCAGGACAACAGCTTTCTCCCCATAATCACAATAGAGGCATACCATGTTTTATTGCACTTTGCAGATATTATTTTTTGTTTTTGTTCTTTTAACAAATTGAAGGCAAAATCTCCCAACAGCAAAAAGATTATAACTTACTGAAGACTCCAATGATGGTCAGCATTATATAGTAATAAAGTATCTTTAAAGTAAGGTATGTGCACTATTTTTTTAGACATAATGCTATTGTACACTTAATAGACTATACTGTAGTATAAACATAACTTTTTTAAAAAAATATATTTTATTGATTTTTTTACAGACAGGAAGGGAGAGGGATAGAGAGTTAGAAACATCGATCAGCTGCCTCCTGCACACCTCCTACTGGGGATGTGCCCGCAACCAAGGTACATGCCCTTGACCTGAATCAAACCTGGGACCCTTCAGTCCACAGGCCGACGCTCTATCCACTGAGCCAAACTGGTTAGGGCTAAACATAACTTTTATACACATTGGGAAACCAAGACAATGGCATGACTAACTTCACTGCAGTGGTCTGGAACTGCACCTACAATATCTCCAAGGCATACCTGTACAGACATCACACTCAGGAGCAATATTGATATAATACTGCTATCTAATACTCACAGGCACATTTCCCCAGTGTCCTAATAATGTCCTCTATGGTTGTTTAAATTCAAGATCCAGTGAATGATCACACATTATTGGTGATGTCTTTTAGCATCCTCTAATCCATTAGTTTTAACCACATGAAATTGGAGCTGACCATTTTGGATTTACAATGAAGACATGGTCCCACCCAACAGAAAGTTGGGTTCTAGATAAAAGGTACTCCCCTTCTTCTCCCTTAGTGGACCCTTGTTCTGGTCAGCATGCTGAGTCCACCTCTGTAATTCATTTCCATGCTCCGAGGATACTGGACATGCCCCCAGTCACCTTGGGCTGCCTCTTGTCTGCCCAGCAAAGGAGCCTGAGGACTGAGTAGGAACCCACCCCACACATATAGGGAGAAGAAGCCAAGGTGTATCCAGAAGGCAGGACACCTCAAGGACAATGACCCAACTAGACACGAGCTTAGTGGCATGAAAAGAAAAGAAGGGCTGCCCTGGAGAGCAGGACAGGTAAAGATGACAATCATATTAACGCTGGACCTAGAAGGGGTTTGGATCAAGCAAAGGTTACACTTTCTAACCAGTGAAGAATCTGATTGTGGAGAAAGGAAGCCCCATGTATCAGAAGGTCCTGAAATACTGTTAACACCATTCACCTGAGAACAGCAGTAAAACTACGAAGGAGAGGTACCTTTTTTTGTTTCTAAAAATGCTGACTAAATACTGTAGGGCAATGGTTGGGCATCGCTAATTCTCATGGAGCAATCTCAGAAGGAAGCTGAAGTGACACTTTAAAACATTTCAGTGAAGAAAAACATAAAAAGGGGGAGAGGAAAACCTTCACAACTGTCAACTCAAGGTAATGGATGGACAGGGTTTACTTTCACTACTTACACATTAGAGAATCCGTAATAAACATTTTTACACAATACAGGTGGCGACCTGAAATCCCCGGAAGCTCTATCAAATGCCTCCCACCCAAGGTGAGGAGAGCCACCTCTCCAGGCTCACTGTCATCCCTGGCAGCTGAGCTCTGCAAAGAGCTGAAGTAGATAGGCAAGTGTCATCTTCAGTAGTGACAAAGGGCTCAGAGCTCAGCAGGCAGCCTGCATCTGCTGTATGTCTAGAAGCCTCCTGGCAACAGTCCACAGGGATCCTGAGAAGCCTGGCTCAGTTGCCCAGCTTGCAAGCTGCTACTGGACCAACACATATAAAAAGGCACAGGACCCTTCGAAAGCCACAGGTCCACTCGGCCTCCCACATTTATCAGAAGCAGCAGCATTCTGCTCTTGAGGAAAGCTCTTCTGGCAAGAAGAGTTCAAGGACCCCCTGAGACCTGGAGACTCAGCTAGACTCACTGTCCCCTCTGCACTTCCCAAGGCCACACTCTGCTCTGGGTCCCACTAGACACAGCTGGGCATCATGGTTCTACTCTGCGGGCTGGACAGTTCTGCACCACCACAGCTGCCCAGAATCTGCCCCCTCCAGCTTCCATGCTCATCACTCTTCTGGAGCCTCTCCATCCAGGAAGGCCTCTTGCCCCTCTCAGGTGCGGCCTCCCAAGGGTATGCTGACTAGCACTATCCTCACTCACACCTCCGATCCAAGGGGAGCCTGCCTCAGCCCTGGGATCCTAGACCCTGATGAAAGCCACAGATAGCAACTCGTGTCTGCTCTAGGCATAACTCCTTGTGAGGCCTCGGAGGCAATGAGGCGTCCAGTGCAGAACAAGCATATGCCCAGGAGGAGGACTGACCCCTGCGGCAGCCTGGTACCGTGATAATTCACACATTCACTTGAGTGCACGCAGCACACATCCAACCACAGCGCCCTGACTGAACTCTCCTTCTGGCCTAGGCCACACTCTCGCAGGGCAGACCACTCCCTCTTCTGGGCCCTCACCATCCCTAAAGTCAACTACAATCTGGGCAGCACCTGTCATTTCTAACAAAGTAGCTGCAGCTGGACTGCAATGAGGGCACAGCAAGCAGAATTGCTGAGGGCAGGAGTCAAGGACCAGGCTGAAGAGGCTGGCCTGATGGCCTGCACAGAGGGGACAGAAGTAAATGTGAACAGACCTATGAGGATTCCCAGGCCTCACTTCCTGCCTCTGAACAACCCCTGTGCAGGGTCCAGCACATGGGAAAGCACATCTCAACATATGATCAGAAATGGCTGAGTAGGGGGTCACCCAATTTCCCTATGTTATAGCTGTTGACCAAAGACTATAAAGATGAACAAGAGCAAAAATGGAGGGACCTTGTCCTGTGTGGCTCAGGGGGTTCATTTTTGGTCAAGGGCACGTACCTGGGTTGCAGGTTCGATCCCTAGCCCTGGTTGGGGATGGGTGGGGGGGTGGGGGGGGGCAAGCAATTGATGTGTCTCTCTTACATAGCTGTTTCTCTCCGCCCCTCCCCCCCATCTTCCACTCTCTAAAAATCAATGGAAAAATATCCCCAGGTGAGGATTAACAAACAAAAGTAAATAAATTTAAAAATGAAGGAAAGAAAAGGTGGCATGAAGGACAAATCAAAGGCAGCAAGTGACTATGGTAATGGTCAGACAGCCCCGGAAATTTACTAGAAAAACACTGACTTGCACATTTAAAAATGAGAGGGCTCTACAGTATGTGATCATACCTCATTGTAGCTACTAGAAAGATGTCTTTTTCTGGTATGTGGAAGCTGGACTGAGAGAGAACTTTAGTTTTTAGTTAATATTGGTATTGCATTGGGCGTTAATTTTCCCCATAATCTTCCTGAATCTGGGTGAAGAAATGGGTAAATTGAGTAAGAAGTCATTTCACTTATTCACCATTAACTGACACAAAACCTTCTTTTGTTCTAATTGCTAGTTGAGTTCTCACTATTTGGAAACAAACCTGGGAAATACAACAAGGAGAAAGTGATAGATGAACATCTGTTGGACTCCTGCAAGGTTACCAGTGTCTTATCTCTGATTTTCTCAAGGCATGCTGAACTGCATATTCACAAAACCAGATGGAAAAAGTCACTGCTTTTAGGAACCCGTGAACTGTGTCACTCCTCCTCATCGTAAGCTACAGGCCAGTAAGCAGAAGAAAATATGTTTCCCTGATGGTCAAGGATATGTGGGGACAGCCTTCCATGAATTCTGAAGGCAGCAGGAAGTATGGTTTTGAAGAACAGGTTACAACTCTTTATTAAAGTATCTTCCCACTTGAAAAGGAAAAAGAAGCCCCAGTTTGTGTACTCAGGACTACAACTGAGGAAGAGTCTTTGTGTATCTGGTCACCTGTTTACAGCCACTGGGTTGTTTCCAGTCTGGAGCTCTCATGAACGAAGCTGCTGTAACCCTCCCAGCAGGTCCACATTTGGGCACCTGCCTTGTTTCCCTGCTGGGCCACAGAGCTGTGGGTGACCGGTAAGGTATGAGAGTTCCAAGTGGTATTTCCAACTTTTTAAAAACAAAAAAACAGAGTCACTCCAATAAGTGGGCAGTGGTATCTCCATGTGGTTTTTATCTTACAGTGAGATACAACTGACATACAATAAATGACACGTTTAAAGTGTTTAATTTTATAAGTTGACAGATGTCAATGGCTGTATACACCCATATTCACCACCCCAAATCCCCTAGTGCCCTTTGCCATCCCTCCTTTTCTTCCCCTCTCTCAACCAGAGACCTGCTTTCTATTACTCAAAGTCCACTAGCACTTTATAGAACTTTATATCACCAAAATCATATAGAGTATATACAGACAGTCCCCAGAATTATGATTTTTTTTTACTTTATGATGGTGAGAAAGCAATGCACATTCAGTACAACCATACTTTAAATTTTTATCTTTTCCTGGACTAGTGATATGTGGTACGATATACTCTCATGATGCTGGGCAGCTGCAGCAAGATGATTTTGCCCAATTGTAGGCTAATGTAAGTGTTCTGAGCAAATTTAAGGTAGGCTAGGCTAAGCTATAGCATTTAGTAGGTTAGCTGTATTAAATGCATTTCCGAATTATGATATTTTCAACTTACAATGGGTTCATCATTTTTGTCAAAGTGCTTTTTTCACTCAGTGTAATTATTCTAAGATGCATCCACACTGTTGCATATATCAACAGTTCATTCTTTATTTTGATTAGGCAGTACTCCCAACTCTTAGATTTTCACCAAAATTCCAATGTTTGGAGGAAAAACAATTGTAGCAACAGTTAAGAAGAAATAATTCAACTAGACAGACCAGAAGGGTTGTAACACCAGCTATTAGGCAAAGGACTTCTGAAACTACCTTTCCCCGTCCTTTGGGGGTGGGGGAAAAACCCACGAAAGGGTCAGCTGTGCAAAAGAAAACTGTCTTAAGGACACTTGGCAAGGCTGTGTCCTCACCACTTTTCATCCCAGGATCTGGAGGGACTTGATAAATATCAGTTTCATTTCACAAACAAGAAAATGAGTGTTACTTGAACCAACTCAAGAACTCAGCAGTGTCACCCGTGCCTGCCATTCTCTCACCCTGGCTGGAACATTCTCTCACTCTGCCTCTAAACAAACTTTCAGGTAAAACCAACTGTGCAAAACTGGCAGTCAGGACTATCACATTGGAAAATAGTCTGGCAGCTCCTGAAGGAGTTACCCAGCAATTTCACTGAAGACATACATCCACAAAGAACCTTGTACACCAAGGTTTACAGCAGCACTATTCATAGTAAGTAAAAGTGGGAACAACCCAAATGTCCACCAACAGATAGGTGGATAAACAAAATGTGATCTGTCCATACAAAACTGGCTACAGAGCACTTGATGCTTTACAACCACTCATCCAATAAGATCAAAAGGCATTCAGATCAAAAGGCCCCATCATACAGTTAACTCCTGAGGACAAACAAGAAAAATCTTTCCAAATGCTGTAGGAAGCCAATGCCACCAACTAGCAAAGGAGATACAAACTTTTTTTCACTTTGCTATTCTATTCAAATTTTTCTGACCCCAAACTCAGGGCCTCCTCTTGTGACAAAGGATATTACTCCCCTCCCCCAAATACAAATCAAAAGTTAGGCTACAGGAGGATGGGTATCAGGGTTAAGTACCAGTAAGGAAGAGTAGTCTCTTTTGATATCATCACAACTCAAGTGAGCTCAACTGCTATGTTTACCTCCAGTGAAGTTTTAATGCTTTTATTTTGTACAGCTCAGTGTTCAGGTGGAGGAAAATAAATCGATTATTTCAACTGAAAGAGAAGGACATGCCCTCAATTAATCGAAAACACCAGGAACAAAACTAGAACCAGAACTGCTCCAGGTTGGCTATTTTGTATTGGCTACAGTTAAAAAGGATTTGTAATAAAACCATTACCTTTTACAACCCTGACGGACCTAGGGCAGGTCACCCCACAAATGGTGGCACACTGCTCAACCAAGAAATCTTTATCCTAGGGCTTCCAGACACGACAAGGTGAGCACAAGTTACAAACAGCACTTTCTGGTCCATTCATACAGGAGTTCAGATTTCATATATGTTTAAAAGTAACAAAACTAAAACTGCTATGCCACATTTTACAGCTGTGGAAACAGAGAAATCTAGAGTCCAGACTACAGGTATGATCACCCACCTCCAGCAGCTCATTCTTCTCTCCAAACCAACTCTCCCCTCTCTCCTTCCTCCCTCCACCACATAGAAACAAAACTGAAAAAAACATACATACCTGCACACCTGTTCTCCCTGATGCCCCACCCATCAGACTTCTATTTTTAAGGAATCTGGGGTTAGAATGAGTCAAATGTTTTCTGCTTCTAGAAGGGACTAAAAGAAAGCCCAAGTGGGTGGCCTACCCACGGGAGTGACTCAACCAACTAGACTCCCTCCCAACCAGAAAGCAAGCCCCCATCACCCAGGACAGGTTTTGAGTTCATTCTGGCTGAGGAAGGGGTGGCTCCCCCAGCCTTGGCACTGGGTCCTCAGGCCATGGGACACCTGTGACAAGGTGAGCCTTGTATCTCTTCCCTGGCTGAGAATTCAGGAAAATAAATCCGAGGGGAGTGCCAGGCATAGGAAAACCTGCTGAATGGAATCTGAGACTAGAGGATGATGGTGACATTCCCTGGGACCGCAGCCGAAGACCCTAGCCAGGCCCCGCACAGGTCCAGGAAGTGTACACCTGCCTGATATTTCTCATAACCCAAACCCAAATTTAAAACACCCAAGCAGCTTTCGCTAAATGTTCGTATCATTAAAAACAAATGTCCGATGTAGCAGATCCATTTACGTAAAACCCACTATCACTGCCCACTGGAGGAACAAACTCAAACCTAACTTTTCCAAGGCAGGGCTATGGAGTTATGTAACACGACGGTTTCAGCAACAGGCAATTCAAGCAGGAAAAACAAAATGCAACCTGCCTTTAGAATAGCATCAATAGCCAGCGAGTATGGGGTTCTCGACTGGAAGCAAAAACTCCCTTTCTGTCCTGGGAGCCTCCACTCTCCCCTCGCCAGAGTCCCTGGGCTTGGGGAAATTTGATCTGGAGGCTCGGTGTGTGAATGCGGGGTGCCCAGATGGCTGCGACCACAGGTGGGGGTGGGGCAGGGCTCGGGTTCCACCGAAGGGGGCATATGGGCAGATCGTCCGGGACCCAGGTGGAGGGGCAGGTCACCCCGTCTTGGCCGGAGACGGACCTAGGGCAGGTCACCTCGGACATGCTCAGAAGAGGACTTGTGGCAAGTCACCTAAGACCTGGCCTGAGCTAGATCCGCACCGGGTCTTGGAGGTACTCAAGGCAGCTCACCCAGACGCAAACAGACCCGGAGGTCTGTCCTGCGCCCAGTAAGGAGTGCGGCAACCGGGACAGGTTACGCTGGACCTGGTCAGAGTAGGGGGTCCTGAAACAGATTACTTCGGACCCGGCGGGAGTGAGGGATCCGGTACAGGTTACTTGGGGGCCGGCCTGAGTCGGGGAACCGGAGCAGGTCCCCAGGCGCCAAGGCCTGGCCCGGTTTCCGGCGCCGCCATGTGCCGCTCACCTGAA